GGGGGGGGGGGGGCACCGAAGAGAAAAAAGGATTGGGTAAACAAAATTTTGAGTGAGTAAAAGGTTGGCTAAATGAAAAACAAAACAACTCAAGGGTTGGGTAATAAACTAAAAAAACAATGTCAACAGTCATATGTCAATACAATATGTGAATCAATCAGAGTCACTATCTTGACCATGCACGTTCCGATTTGTCAGGAGGCAAATGGTGTCTCCAACGAAACTACATGCTCAGACAATATGAAACTTTAGACTGCAGTTATCAAACTCGTGTCACAGAAGTGGTAAAGGACATGTGTGACAACTGAATGATATCCTTTTGTACAGTTTTTGGTCACGGGGTGGGTATTTATCTTTTAATTGATATTTGAGGTTGGGTAAAATTTTTTGGGACTTTTTAATGGTTGGATCAGAGAAACCACCCCTCCCCCATGAATGATGACCGGTCCCTAATCTGCACATAAGTTTCACTCATTACCTTATTTCCTTTCAAACATTCCATTAACCAATGATAAATGTTCGGTGGATCTTGTGTGATGAATGTTGGGAAAAAAATTTGATCCTTTGATAGTTGTTCTAAAAGCAACAAAAATATAAAATTATATAGAGTGTAAATTATGAATGAATTGGACCATTTTCATGTATATTATTGATAAGTAATAGTATATTTTCTCGTGCAATTTGGAAAAATATACACTCTTGAGTTCTTCAAAGACGTCAAATTGCATTCGTCCTTCGGCCTCCTGCTATTTTGATAGTCTTTGAAAAACTCACTTGTGTATGTTTTATCCAAATTGCACTCGAAACCATACTATTACAAGTACTATTTAATTAAAGCACGCGTATATGTATTAACCTGGAATTCTTGGTTACCAATCCATCTAATATACTCTGGTTAGTTAAATTAACCTGGTTAAATTAGCCAGGACTATGACCAAGGTAACAAGGACTGTGGTTAAATTAACCAGGAAATTTAACCAGGAACATTAAGTAGGGTTGGGCGATATTTCGATTTATCGCGATATTTTCAATCACGATTATCGTATCGAAGGTAGAAACTTGAGCGACGATATATCGAAATTATCGTCATGCTCGATGACTATCGTGATATTGCTTCACATGTGTGTGTTATAAAATCCTAAAAAATTCTTTCAATTCCCTAGAAAATATAGTGTTTAAAAGAATTACAACTATTTCCTGAATTAAATACGAATTTAATACGATACAAAAGCTAATATTTATGTATTAATCTGCTGAACAATGGAATTCCAGGCTTTGCTTGCGCTGTGTGGCCACAGCATTTGTGCCAGCAGAGACACAGTAGACACTGCATAGACAGTTCTGGTTTATGAACAGTAAATATTAGACTAGAAAAAGCCTCTTATTGTTGTTTTACTTGTTTTTAAAAAGATTATATATAAGCTTACTATACAATGATATTAATTAAAACTGAAAAATGTGGTGATTGTTTTTATTGCATTTATCGCGATATTATCGAATATCGTGATAATTTCCTTGCCAATAATCGTGAGATAATTTTTTTAATATCGCCCAACCCTAACATTAAGTTACCCCAACCAGAGTTAATTTTAGATTAACCTGGAAATTTTTAACCAGGATGGTCTTATATAGGGTGTAGAATCACCAGATTCACTTTACCTTCAGGTTTAAGTACAGCACAAGGCTCCTTGTAAAACTGCGGATATTCTTTCTTGTAATATTCCACATATTGATCCCACCCAATTGTCCTGGTAAAATAAATACAAATAAATGCTTTACGGCAACGTTCAATGGTATATCTGCTCGTATATGGTACTGGAAAACATGGCACTTTATGTTAATGCACGACACAAGAAATGGTTTAAAAAATTACAGTTTTACATACCTTGTTAAATTCAGAAGAAAATTACCCAAATATTCAGCAGCATGCCACGTTAGAGTGCTCAGTTTCAAGTTCTATTAGAGAATATACAACATGTAGTTTAGACACTCAGACGCAGTATATTTGGTTAACCCAATCTTTAAAGAACATGCACGGATTGAAATTTCTTGTCCGTCGACAAAATATCCAACTAATTTAGCATTTGGTCGGACAAACTGTAATTTGGTCGGAAAATGTCCGAACACCGGTAGCCTTTATTTTCCGAACTAATAGAGCTATCCATGTCGTGTAAATATATATGAAGTTAGTTTAGTTCAGGCTTCCTCCCGTAGTAACACTGGGTAAATAATGGACAAGTTTACTGGACCTCTAGGTATAGAACAGTTTAGAACTAATAGTTATCCAGTAAAAAGTTCGTTTAGTTGAGGTTTTCTCCTGTAGTAACACTGGATCAATAATGCATGGATGGCCTTAATGGACCTCTAGAGAGAACAGTTTAGAACTGATAGAGCTATCCTGTATAAATAATGTTAGTTTAGTTCAGCTTTTTAAAATAAGCCACATTACACATAAGACTACATGAGTATATACTCACCTCGTGAACAAGATGTAAAACAAACACGACGCTTGGTATATATTGATACAGTAATGCATTGCTGTCCCACGAACTTGCTGACTCAGCACTTTCTGTCACAGGCGCCTCATGACGAGTAGGTATTGAGAAACCAGCATCGCTGAGAAATTTGAAATCCCCAGAAGAACTATCCATTGTATCCAGGAGAAATTGCCACGCGTCCTATGTAAGGAAAAATGTTGTAAAATATTGTGGTTTCAACTAAGTGCTTTCGTGTTGCAGATGATGGCCAATATCTAATATATATATTATACTGACCCATCCACGGTAACTGTGCTCCGTGATCAGACATGAGCCCAATCTCGTTCCCCGAGCCTGCGATCCTCGGGGAGGAACGTGAGGCTCTGGGATAATCCGTTTCAGGGAGGAATCTGATTGGCCGTTGATATGGAATGCGTAGTTCAATCCTAGCCAGGATTCCTGGCTTCCGGCAACGGATTATCCCAGAGCCTCGCGTTCCTTGCCGAGGATCGCAGGTTCGGGGAACGAGATTGACATGAGCCATATAAGGTGGCAGCCAAATGCGCCCTATATTATATGGCTCATGCCTGGCTCAAGCCTTCGACTCGATCAGGTTGAGCTGCGGCCTTCGCAATTCAGCTTAGCTCTCAGCTGCTAGACTGAGTTCCGAAATACCACCCACTCGAGCTGATTTGACCTCGTAGCTCTCAGTTGGTAAAGCATTGGACTAGCAAACCAAAGGTCGCGGGTTTGATTCCCACGGCGGTCAAACAAACGTTTCAGCTTACCTGGCGTGGACACACTCTGAGACAACAACATAACAAATATTGATAAGATTTGTCAAAATTGAAAATCTTTGCTTTAAAATACTGTGACAGAAACGGCAGTATAAAACATTATTCGAAAATTGTTGGATGGTATTAGGCCAACATCGTTGGGTCCGTCTCAATGTGCCTCAAACAAAGTACAAGTATAGGTGAAACCGAAGTAGCTAAAATCATTAATCCTCCTTACCTCTCCTTCATCTGAGTTAGTCTTACATTTCTTTGCCGGAACACTTGTAAATGACTGAAACAAAACCAAAACAAGACCTTTTATTGTTTTACTTACTGGGGAGATGCCTTTTGACAACCGCTTTATAAATTATGAAGACAGTTCCCAAGATGAACCCTACCCACCTCATCGGTACTTCTATACCCCAGTAATTTCCACAAAGCTTCACAAAAGTTCTGCCATTCTTCGTCTGGGTCATATTGACTATTCGATCTGCCATTCGTGAATTGGTAGTATTTCAAAAATAATTTTGCCGCAACATCGTCATTCAAGACTTGCTGAAGTCCTGCCAAACACGAAGACACTAAACAACCACAATAGAAATGTTAGTAACACAGGTTTTCTCTTCCGAAGAAGATTAAGAGGCAATTTTTTTCAATGTCACGTATTTGCGATGAAAAGTGTTCAAAACCTAAGATAATTTTGGAGTTCCTCTCAAAATTACTTTGTTTTAGCTTTATTCTCTAGTTTATAGAGTTAGCTACCTTTTTAAATGCATCTGCCGGTTGAGAAACATAAAATAATAGTCAAAAATTGTCAATTAAAATACAATTAGCAATGATGCTTTACAATTGACGCCATTCATTTACAGCCATATAAGCAAAACTTACTAAACTTCAGACATCATTTTCTCTTTGGCGTATCATCTAAAATCTCTTCATTTTAGCATCATTTTACAGATGAAACACTAAACATACTTTTTAAGTTTGTTTGCAGATTGAGAAACGTATCGAAAAATAAAAGTTTTGAATTTAGTCATAACCTCAAGTGGTATATCATCGCATTACTTTTGAGCGCATGTTACATAACATACAAAAAAATCTCCTCTTAAGTATTTGTAGGAGAGCACTATCGTGGCCACTTCTACCAAAACCCCCTACGCTCCCTCCCCCACCCCCACCACACATATACACGGAAAATTCTTGATTTTGTCTCTATAAAAATAACATTTCATGAAATATTATTCATCGTGGTTTTACGTTATTTCATCTCAGCTATCCCTATTGGACGATTACTTCATTATACGAAACTACAATGAGCTCAATCACTGTGACCGTGCACAAATTAACATAAACTCCGACAAAAACAGAATACAATGGCTTCTGTCCAGTTTCCCGACTATACAAACTCTTGATAGACTATGTTTACAATTAATTTATTCACATTTGCCATAATTTCTTCAAAGTATATTGTGAAAAACATAATTACGGAGAAAGATTGAGGTTTAAATGCCAACTGAAGATTTATACCAGTAGTAGAAAGGAGACGAGCCAATACAATATACAAATATGAAGTTGAACTATCACAATTCATATACCTGTATTGTCTGTTGCCATTGGAGGTAGTGTCATCCTATACATCTCACCATCATTGACTTGCTAAAAGTATTGACAAACGATATTCATTTTGCGACAAATGTTGGTGCAAATGTAGGTTCCCAACTTGACCTACCAATATAACTGCATTTCCTATAGTTTCTCTCAGACCAGTCACACAGAGTTTCTGCTCACCAAAAGTAGGGTCAGACACTACAAACAGAACAACAAATTTCAATCAAAAATTGCGGTTGCCATAGAGGAAACCACTTTCTGAAATCATATATTAAGCCAGTTAAATGAAAGCGATAATTTTGAGCTCTGTCGAAGTAAACTTGACATGTCGTGTACGTTTTTATTTAGCTTTAAACATTCTGAATGCAACATTCACGCCTATGTATATGTGGTATAAGATAGAAAATTCGTCTTTCCCTCGCAATACACTCTTCTGGAAATCTTGGCCACAGAATCTCGTTTTCGTGATTCGCTTTAACTAATGTTGCGTACACAAAAATCAGGCTCTATAGCCAAAGTGACGCACCTTCCGAAAGGGTGCATGTATTGTAGTATATGCATATTATGCAACACGCTGTATCATGCTGTACATAATTTACATCACGTAAACAACATTCATTTTGAGGACAAATAAAAAATACTAGTGTTACTACAATCTACCTGTGGAAGCACTTGTCTCTCTAATACTTGAGCTACTGTGGCTTGTTTGTGCTCCTCGAACAGGGGAGAGAAGAATAACCTGCAAATGTTTTTTGAGATTCATCAACACGTAATGCTTACTCAAACGGCGGGGGGGGGGGGGGG